CTGCGTATCGTTGCATCGCAGCCAAATGGCGCTAAAAAATTTTACTGAAGACGACAGCAAAACACTCGAAGAACTATCCTGTTCGGCGGAATTTCTCAGAGGTGTAGATGGCGAACTTATCTTTTTTTCAGCGCTAAATATTTTTCTTTCTATTTCTGCATTTCTGGGGAACACTCTGATCCTAGTTGCCCTACACAAGGAAACTTCACTTCATCCGCCGTCCAAACTCCTGTATCGTAACCTAGCGATAGCTGATCTGTGTGTTGGTATCACTGCGGAGCCTTTGGCTGTGACTTATTGGACTTCCGTCTTGAAAGAAAGATGGGATATTTGCTATTACGCAAATTTGGCACTACTTTTCTTAGGATATACTTTGTGTTCAGTGTCTTTACTAACATCTGCTGCAATAAGCGTCGACAGACTTCTCGCCTTGTTGCTGGGGCTCAGATACAGACAAGTTGTAATTTTGAGAAGAACATGTATAATTGTTTTTGGTTTTTGGATTTTGTCCATCGTTGGCTCATCTACTATATTTTCGAATCCTCGTATACTTCCTTGGTGTCAATACATATTTACAGCCCTGTGTCTAGTCACCACAATCTTCGCTTACACAAAAATTTCCTATACTCTGCGTCATAATCAAATACATGTTCACAACCATGTTGCTCAAGGACAACAGAGCCAAGCAATTCCCGCACTGAACATAGCTCGATACAGAAAGGCAGTGTACAGTGCAATGTGGGTGCAGGGAACATTGATTATTTGTTATCTGCCGTATGGTATAGCAGTAGCTTTGAAACGTCAGAGAGGGATGACTTTATCCATTTACCTTGCTCAGCAATTTACGGCTACCTTAGTGTATTTAAACTCATCATTAAACCCGTTGTTGTACTGTTGGAAGATCAGAGAAGTGAGGCAAGCTGTGAAAGAAACATTAAAGCAAATGTTCCGTTGTTCGAGTTAGTGTACTTTACTTTTCCGCTGTATACTATTAAAATTCATGCGAAAATTCCCGTTTAACTAATTACATTTTATACTGTTGTGAAGTATTTTGAACGTTATTTTCAAATTTTCGTTTGGGTCAAGGTTAGTCCTGATTCTGTCCACATAATTAGGTCTTTTTCTGTTTTGACCTTTTGTTTCTTCTTGTAATTGAATTTTTTCTTAGCTCGCCATTTTTCTTACTGCGATGTTAGGAATATTCTTCGCTCAGTGCCATTGTCAAATGTTAGTTTTTCACAGATAGTCGTGTTTGAGATGTTAGTGCTGACCTTGGTTCTTAATTAAGTCCCGTTAAAGTTCCTGTTTGGGTTTCAGATCACCAGCGTTTTAGATTTTTATTGCGTTGTGACGATCGCAACCATGTAGGTTCAGTAATACCAAAACATTACCCACACTATATAAGTTCACCATGATTTTAATTTAATTTATTCCCACAGTCAGCTGACCCGAACATGTCCAGCTTTGGCAATAAAAACCGTTGCTATTTGAATTGCTAGAGAAGAAGATTGAAGTAGGAGACGATATAAGAGCGTTAAGAGTATAGCTGCTGTAGAAGTCAAGAAAAATAAAAACCAAGATGTAAGAAGTAAACTCTCGGTACTTCATCGATTAGCGAGTGAGTTGCTCGAACACGCCCCCACAATACTTACCGGAGTTCTTTTTCATCATCTGTTTTTCCGAAAAAAAGACGTCCAGTCTTTTAAAAGTTCGGCTTAAAATCTATAGGAGGTATAATTACCCTCTTAGCCTTGGAAATCATTGTTAAGTCGCAAACGTGAAACCGGGTTGGAGAGACACTATGGTACCTCGAAAAACAGCAACAAGAAAAGAGCTTCGATTAGCTATCCTATGCTCAATGCTAAATTCACGAGACATGTAGACCACATGAACAAAACCTACATCAGTTCTTTATAGGTGGAAGCTCAGAATAAGTAACAAAAACGAAAACAAAGATATTGAAAACGCATCCACGTTGCAAGCAAATATATACTCTTGAATTCTGAACATTTAGCATACGTTTACCCTGCTTATATTGGCAAGAGCATCTACTTTTTGTCCTGTGGTCTCCTCATAATTAAGAGCTTCGCAAGGTTCTGTATGATACACGTATTTGGGCTGCATAAAATAGCGAGGGTTACTGCAGGCAGTAGGCATTGAATATTTAACCTTAGCTTGCATTTTGCACAAAATAAGGTGTAAAGAAAATTCGAGCACTAATTAGAAGGTGTCTGTTTCAGTTTCACCAAAACGTTTACTCACATGAAAGCAAATTAATGCACACGACCACATAATATTTTGCAAAAAAGTTCAACAATCGCGCTATGTATATAATATATTTTACAGCTGGTCTCTTTGCGGAAGAGAAAGCTGGCAGCGCACGATTAATAGCAATATGATGTTGAAATAGAGGATATTACATGGCAGCGCGGGGATACGAATTTTATCTACGAGTGCTGAAAGAGATACTTTCAGCACGAGAAGGTAAAATTCGAATCCCCAAGCGGCCATGTAATGTTCTGTTTATTTTATAGATGCTGATGAAATTTTACATAAAACACAATTTTTTGTATTCATTTTCGAAACAGCAAAATAGTGCAATTATAGTGGTCACCTATCGCAAAATGCCTGCTACAAAAATTTTATGAAACTCGGAAATAAAGTTATAAAGAAGAAATAAAGACAATAATACTTATGATTTTCTGTTCCAAAAAGTCGAAATTAATGTTAGTAACCATGGGGACACCAATATCCTTACACGTCAAAGATAAAAATAGCATCTTTACTGCGCGCGATGAAGATATGATTTTTTATTAGTAAAAGGAAAAATCCTGGTATTTCATCAGTATCTATATAATAAATAGCGGATACTAAATAGTTTCACGACAATTTAAGAGGTATAGATCGCCCAAATGTACGTCAACAAAACGAGATGTCATTATGAGGTTTTCGTGCGTTTCGCCTCTCATAACAAACCCAAAAATTAAATTCCTTTCCAGCCATCTGACCTCAAGTAAGTTAATAACACAAATATATTACGTTCTGCTAGGAAGATAGCGATGGCTCAAGCTTGTTAACAGCTTGTGTTACTGCAAAGTTTATGCCAAATTACTGTAGAATGTTAATGAAGAAATACATCAAGGTTGAACTGCACCGACAACATTTTAATACATGAAAAATCATTAAATTCGGCCGTGTATGAACAAGTTTTACCTGGCTCATCATAGCAAGCTAGTATTTCTTAAAAGCTTAATTTGTCTGAATTTTTTCTTTTTTTCTCTCTCTTTCTCTCTTAAAAGTATCTCAATCTTTTAAACTTAAAACGGATATTAATTAGTTTAGTTTTCTGCCAAATTACTTCAGTAAGTACGAAAACAAAGGCTATTAAGGAGCAACGAAAGACCTAAAAAGTTATTAAAATAGTCAGTGAGCTATATATAGTTCAAGTTCGTGACACTGTATTTTGTCTGCTTGGGCTTCAGTTAGAAAAACGTATAGTCTGTGCCAGGCTCTCAAATAGTAGAGATGTCGCAAAAACCATAACTATGCGAAAATAAAGCGAAAATAAGACGCTCTTGATCAAAAAAAACAATTTGTGCTCGACCTTAAACTATTTTATGTCTTACTTCAACTTTTCAAAACAAATACATCTCGGCATTTTTGTTTTTGTTGAACTGAGGTTCATGATAATTATAAAAACAAGAAGACTAGTTTGTGTAATCAAATGGTGACGAATAATTCAATTCCAGGCCAAACTTTTAATGGTTTCCCTACCATCAAGACATGTTGTGCTCTTTAGTGTGTTAGGACTTGTAACATCATTTTTTATTCCCCTGATGTCTTCATTCATAACATCTCACCTAGACATCATTAAACTTGGACGCCATCTCGGGCATTCAGAGTACAAAAGCTGCCATAGCTGAATTTATGAATTAGTATAGGTAATAGCATGATTTGTAGTGATATTTGGCATAAATACCACGAGTAATATTTCAAAATTGTTATACGTAATTTCACGAGCCGTTAGTGATATTTATGCAAAATATCACGTACAAATCATGCTATCATTTGTTTGTAATACTACCCGCGAAGGTTTTGTAATTTTTACATGTGGGTATTTCAAATTAAGCTGAAATACCACTGCTCTTAGCCAATCAAATTAAGGAAATTTCTCATGTAGTAGTATAAACGCCGAAATTTCGCGCCAAATTAAGGAGTAACTTGTACCCGAGAAATAACCACGCACCTAGCCTTAGTTAATTAGGTAATTTAAAAGATACAATAGGGCCATTTATACGAGGAAAAATAAGACGCGTCTTAAATAAGACGAGAACTTTCCGTATAAACGGCACATTTCGTCTAAAATAAGACGCGGTTTAGCTAAGACGCGTCTTATTAGATAAGACATGCTCGTATAAATGGTACAGTTCGCGTCTTATTTAAGACGCATCTTATGTAAGACGCGCCTTATTTTTCCTCGTATAAATGGCCCTAATGACACACTCGCACCCGTATAAAAGAAAGCGATATGTTGGCACCTGCATATCGTTGCATCGCAGCCAAATGGCGTTAAAAAATTTTACTGAAAATTACAGCAAAACAGTCGAAGAACTATCCTGTTCGGCGGAATTCTTCAGAGGATTGCGAGCTATTTTCCTTTCAGCGCTAAATATTTTTCTTTCCATTACTGCATTTCTGGGGAACACTCTAATCCTAGTTGCCCTACGCAAGGAAACTTCACTTCATGCGCCGTCCAAACTCTTGTATCGTAACCTAGAGATAACTGAACTCTGTGTTGGCATCATTGCTGATCCTTTGGCTGTGACTTATTGGACTTCTGTTGTGAAAGAAAGAGGGGATATTTGCTATTACGCTTATTTGGCAGAAAACCTTTCAGGTCATACCTTATGTTCCGTGTCTTTATTAACATTGATTGCAATAAGCTTGGACAGACCTCTCGCCTTGTTGCTAGGGCTCAGATACAGACAAGTTGTAACCTTGAAAAGAACGTGTGTAACTGTATTTGGGTTTTGGATTTTGTCTATAGTGTGTTCGTCTTGTTATTCGCTTATAATAAAGCCGAAAGTTGCGCTCAGGCAATTTAACATGTCTGAGCGAATTGATTAGACTCCCTTGGTCTTAAAAGTAGCGCGTGGGAACAACTGATACAAGATCAATACACGTGCATGTCATAATCCAACCTAATTAAGGTTGTTTTCTGTCTATTTGAAGCTTTAAGTTATAACCAAACAAAGACATCACCTGCTTTGCTTTTGCTTAACAGTGCAATATCTCAGAAAAACAGGAAGAACTAAGAATGAAGTTACCATGCGCTTAGATAATTAGTTTACACAATATAGATGCTGTGGGGAAATACTGATGTTAGTAATTTTTAAAGTGCGTACTTGCGAGTAGTTACAGGGCAGTGAAATGGCAGTCAGTAGACAAATTTGACACATGCACTTCCACCCATATAAAAGGAAATGATACGTTAAACAGTACAGGCAGCTGCATATCGTTGCATCGCAGCCAAATGGCGCTAAGAAATTTTAATGAAGACGTTAGCAAAACACTCGAAGAACTATCCTGTCCGGCGGAATTTCTCAGAGGTGGAGCTCTAGTTGGCGAGCTTATCTTTTTATCAGCGCTAAATATTTTTCTTTCCATCACTGCAATTCTGGGAAACACTCTGATCCTAGTTGCCCTACACAAGAAAACTTCACTTCATCCGCCGTCCAAACTCCTGTATCGTAACCTAGCGATAACTGATCTGTGTGTTGGTATCATTGTAGAGCCTTTGGCTGTGACTTATTTTACTTCTGTTGTGAAAGAAAGATGGGATATTTGCTATCACACAAATTTGGCACTACGTTTCTCAGGTTATACTTTGTGTGGAGTGTCTATAACAACTTCGACTGCAATAAGTGTGGACAGACTTCTCGCCTTGTTGCTGGGGCTCAGATACAGACAACTTGTAACTTTGAGAAGAACATGTATAATTGCTTTTGGTTTTTGGATTTTGTCCATCGTTGGTTCATCTTCTATATTTTGGAATCCTTATATACTTCTTTGTCAATACATATTTACAGCTCTGTGTCTAGTCACCATAATCTACGCTTACACAAAAATTTCCTATACTCTGCATCATAATCAAATACATGTTCAGAACCATGTTGCTCAAGGACAACCGAGCCAAGCAATTCCTGCACTGAACATAGCTCGATACAAAAAGACAGTGTTCAGTGCAATGTGGGTGCAGGGAACATTGATTATTTGTTATCTACCGTATTTTATAGCAGTAGCTTTGCAACTTCAGAGAGGGATGACTTTATCCATTTACCGTGCTCAGCAATTTACGGCTACCTTAGTGTCTTTGAACTCGTCATTAAACCCGTTGTTGTACTGCTGGAAGATCAGAGAAGTGAGGCAAGCTGTAAAAGAAACATTAAGGCAAATGTTCCGTTGTTCGAGTTAGTGTACTATGCTTTTCCGCTGTATTATTTATCAGTAATTATTAAAATTCATTCCAAAATTGCCGTAAACTGTTGTAACTACATTTAATACTTTTGTGAAGTATTTTGAACGTTATTTTCAAAGTTTCAAGGTTAGTCTTGATTTTGTCCACATAATTAGGTCTTTTTCTGTTTTGACCTTTTGTTTCTACTTGTACTTGAATTTTTTCTTAGCTCGCCAATTTGCTTAATACCAATTGTTAGGAATATTCTTCGCTTGCCATTTTCAAGTGTTAGTTGTTCTTAGGTGGTAGTGTTTGTGATGTTAGTGCTGACCTTGGTTCTTAAGTCCCGTTAAAGTTTCTCGGTTTGGGTTTCTGTTCACCAGCGTTTTAGTTTTTCATTGGGTTGTGACGATCGCAACCATGTAGGTTCAGTAATACCAAAACCTTACCCATACCGAGTTTAACTTGTTTTTATTCCCACGGTCAGCTAACACAAACATGTCCAGCTTTGGCTATAAAAACCGTTGTCATTTGAATTGCTAGAGAAGAAGATTGAAGTAGGAGACGATATAAGAGTGTTAAGAGTATAGTTGCTGTAGAAGTCAAGAAGAATAAAGACCAAGATGTAAGAAGTAGACTCTCGGTACCTCATCGATTAGCGAGTAACTTGCTCAAACACGCCCCCACAATACTTACTGGAGTTCTTTTTCATCAACTGTTTTTCTGAAAAAAAGACGTCCAGTCTTTTAAAAGTTCGGTTTAAAAGCTATAGGAGGTATAATTACTCTCTTAGCCGTAGAAATCATTGTTAAGTCGCAAAAAGTGAAACCGGGTTGGGGAGACATTATGGTACCTCGTAAAACAGCAACGAGAAAAGAGCTTCCATTAGCAATCCTATGCTCAATGCTAAATTCACGAGACATGTAGACCACATGAAACTCAGAATAAGTAACAAAAACGAAAATAAAGATATTGAAAACGCATCCACGTTGCAAGTAAATATACACTTGAATTCTGAACATTTAGCACACGTTAACATAAATAACAGTGCTTATATTGGCAGGAGCATCTACTTTGTCCTGCGGTCTCCTCATAATTAAGAGCTTCGCACGGTTCTGCATGATACACGTATTTGGGGTGCATAAAATAGCGAGGGTTACTGCAGGCAGTAGGCATTGAATATTTAATCAAAATAAGGTGTAGAGAAGATTCGAGCACTAATTAGAAAGTGTCTGTTTCAGTTTCACCAAAACGTTTACCCACGTGAAAGCAAATTGATCCACACGACCACATAATATTTTGCAAAAAAGTTCCACAATCGCACTATGTATATAATATATTTTACAGCTGGCCTCTTTGAGAAGGCAGCCAAAGCTGGCAGCGCACGATTAATAGCAATATGTAGTTGAAATAGCAGATAATAATTAGTTTCACGACAATTTCAGAGATATAGATCGCCCAAATGTACGTTAACTAAACGAGATGTCATTATGATTTTTTCGTGTGTTTCGCCTCTCATAACAGACCCCAAAAATTCAATTGCTTTCCAGCCATCTGACCTCAAGTAAGTTAATAACACAAATATATTACGTCCTGCTAGGAAAATAGCGATGGCTCAAGCTTGTTAACAGCTTGTGTTACTGGAAAGTTTATGCCAAATTACTGCAGAATGTTTGAAGAAATACATCAAGGTTGAACTGCACCGACAACATTTTAAGACATGAAAAATCATCAAATTCGGCCGTGTATGAACAAGTTTCACCTGGCGCATTATAGCAAGCTAGTATTTCTTAAAAGTATTAGTATTGTCTGAATTTTCTCTCTCTTTTTCTTTTTTCACTCAAAAGTATCTCTATCTTTTAAACTTAAAACGGATATCGATTAGTTGAGTTTTCTGCCAAATTACTTCAGTGACATTATACGTACGAAAAGGCTATCAAGGAGCAACGAAAGAGCTAAAAAGTTATTAAAATAGTCAGTGAGCTATATATAGTTCAAGTTCGTGACACTGTGTTTGGTTTACTTGGGCGTCAGTTAGAAAAACTTAGCCTGTGTCAGGCTCTCAAATAGTAGAGACGTCGCAAAAACCATAACCATGCGAAAATAAAGCGAAAATAAGACGCTCTTGATCTGAGAAAGTGTGCTGTCTCCCCAGTCCCCGCGTGTTTTGCCATTCACGACCGCTGCGCAACACCATCTTGGAGCCTGGAACAGGCTAAGGAAAAGTACACAGTAGTCCACATTCGAAATATTAAAATTCTAACATGACTCCAAGACTTTAGGGTCAAAATTGCAAATTTTTCACGTCTCCATTTTCTCACAATTCCCAGAAGAGACTTGAGCACATAGAAAACCAAACCATAAATAGAAAAATGATGAGAAAGCCTCTGAGTCTAACAGAGTACAAAGAGAGAGAGAGAATTTTCGGTTTGCGCATATCAAATGTAAGTACCCCAGGTCCACCATATTCAATAATTTTAAATTGCTGAGTGTTCAATACAAATTGTCATTTGCATATTTCTTAACAAAGAGTCTTGTAGAAAACACTAGCAAGCATTAGAAGGCTTTTGTCATAATTAAATTGAATCCTTGGATTCGTACCCCTCCCTGCCTGCCGAAGGCGTTCAGTTAGTGGAGAGTAAAATTGCTGGGCGTTAATTAATCCTGCATGAGAACATGAAGATATGAGAAAGAAATATCAGAGAAAAAAAATGTGTTGAATAAATTGTAACAAAATAAGTGCCCAGTAAAATGAATTAGTTTGCTAATAATAAAATTCATTCTCAGTTAAAACAGTTATGTTTAATTTTAGAACTCTCTAACATTGTAGGGCAAGGAGGGTTGTGTCAAAAAGAAACAGAGCATGTAAGGTGTCAACATAAGGAGTGTACTATTGTTCACTGGCGCAGCATAATAAAGTCTAATAGGGTCATTCCTGCCTTGCATTCAAGCCCTCTCTGCAAGTTATCTGCTTTCCTACAGAATAGCCAGTAGAAAGAGAAATACAAAAGTGTAAAAATGTGAGAATAAACTTATCCCCTGACTCATATTGTTCAAGCTGAATGAAAATGTCGGTCTGTTTCACTGTGCCCAGAAGATGTTTCATTTGCCATCGCCCTACCAACCTATCTTTTTGGAAATAGGAAAAAATCATGTGAAAATACCGGTCACTCAGGAGAATAAGAGTACATCCTATGGTTTTCAGTATTTAAAGTGAACACTGTTTTCTTGCAATGCTTTTTAAAGCAGTTACGGTTTATGAATTATTTCTTTCTTAAAACGAGCTTTCCTAAAACTTTAAACAGATTCATCCCGCGAAAATTTATGCGGACATTTTATATCTTTCTTTCTTGTTTGCCCTACCGACGGACCCACTTTTTTGTTTGAGACGGATGGATGAATAACAAAACATTGTTTGGGCGTGGCCTAAAATACCAAAAAATCAATGAAACCATACGAACTATCGCTATTTTCGAAAAGTTACCTGAACTTTGGCAACGGTTTTCCTTTAAGAGTATTTACGGCAGACGCTATATCTGTGTCTTCAAACTGATCAACGGCACATTCTGGCAGCATTTCTTTACAAGATGTATACACGGCCTCCCTAGAAAAATCAATCGTGCACACTTCCATGCCATCGTCAGTTTGAGAGGTTGTTTCTGAGTGTCTGTTGAGAACTTCTTCTAGGAGAAGAATCTTCGTCTCGCGTGTTACTATCTCATCTTTCCAGTTCGTCGCAGCTTTGTCGAAAGCAAAGCATACTTTCTTCTGCATGTTTCGCACGGTGTTAGGATGGCTCGCGAGGCCTTTAAAACAGTCCATCTCCTCCTTCTTACAACCTCAAAGCACTAGAATGGTGTAAATTCTAAATGTAAAATAAGAGTTCGGAATCCATGGATTCAGAATGCTTGCAAAGATCAATGCCTCCTTGTTTTTCGCGTTCTTTACTCTTTTGTTCCTTGGAAATGACGAAGAAACAAGGCAGTGCAAGTTGGGTGCTTTTTGTTGGATTTCTCTAATCAAATGGTCATTTCGGAAATCAGCAAGCTTCTCTAACTCCCCTCGGTACTTGTACGTGTTCGTCGGATCTTTTGAGTAGTTCTTTAGTTCTCTCTTTATTTCTTTTCCAATCTCTTCTAACACTTTATCGTGCAGTGGAGAAAATTTAGTGACGCCAACTGCGGCGGCTTTGTAGTTTTTGATTCCTAAGTTTTTTACAAGACGCTCTTCGTCACCTGTACACTCGTGTTCTATCACCAGACCACTAGCCTGAGAGCAAGCTCTCCTATTTGGGCGAGTGAAGCGACCCGACAACTGGAATATGCAACAAATATCTGAAAGATGAAGATAAAGACAAAAATTGATAAACAAAAATAAGTAGAACACGTGCGGGCAATTCTTAGTAAGAGCTTATGTATATATCGATATAGCCTGCGAGCAAGCTCTCCTATTTGGGTAAGCGAAGTGGGCCTCGCGACAACGCGCGAGCGAGGGGGGCCGACCCCTCGCGGCTTCGCCGCTCGCTCGCCCGTTCTCGCGAGACTCGCTTCACTCGCTCAAATAGGAGAGCTTGCTCGCAGGCTAATATCGATAAACAGTTGTCAATATCAGTTCAAATTTGTAAAGCTTCTTTTCGTTGAATATTTCTTTACCTGTATCAGAAGGAAAAAAATTAAATTATTGCCTCCATTGAAAGAAACGCTAATTGCAAGTACCTGCAGTTATTAAGCTTAATTAAGAATTTATCTATCTGGAAAAAGAACCACTTACCTTCACGACTGGCCTGGACGCTGTTTCGACCTTTGTTGTTGTTACCACTGAACACATCAAATTCGCTAAAGCGCCTCCAAGATTTTCACCCTCATTCCGATCGGCTTCGAGCTGAAATAAAAATATCCTTGACCGACCTTTAGGTTCTCTTGGCTCTTGTATTTGTTGTGGAATATCCTTTATTTTCTTGGAGTTCGGTGTCGATCCGCTGGGGAATTTCCATGGAGCCTCCACCTTTCGTAGACTCCGAATTGCCCTCGTCGATCCAGGCTTTGACAGCACTTTCAAGTTCATGGAACATCGTGCAGCAATTGAAAATTTTTCTTGCACATTTTTTGCAAGCTGATCTGGATTCTTCGCTCGCTGCACTGCAAATACCTATCCCAACGTTTCTGAGTAAGTCCGACAACACGATACTGCCGGCAGTGGACGATTTTTTTTCCGTTAACTCTCGATTTCTTGTGGCCTTGCATAACGGCACAGCCCCAGCTAGTAGAATTTCATCACAAAGATAACATTTTTTACTTTTTTAGCGAGCGCCATCTGAACATCGCCGTGTAATTTTCTTTTCTCTTCCCATGAGAGACACAGAGGGATAATAGGGAGAGGGCATGATCTCAGGCTACTTTTCCCTTGTGAGAGCACGACGTTTTTCGCGCCTCGTTGAAATGAGATTCCCGTCAATGTACGCATACCGGCTGACTTCCGGTAAATGCTGATTGGCCCATTAACTTGACAGGTAGAGCTGACGTTCAGGTTTATTTAAATTAGAGGGCGGCTGGCGGCATGTTAAATAAATGTATCAGGCGTTTTTTTTTTCCTCTTGCCTCCTCCGCCCTTGAAAAAAAAAACGTAACATGACGGCGTTTGGTTTTCCCTTTACATATTACTAATTACACACTATCGGACGCGATATTTGTATGGATAAAATGGTTTGCTTTTCCTCCCATACAACAAAGTGAGACCACCCGGGTGCGACGGTAATTAAACAGAAACCCTTGGCGAGAGCAAGTATATACAAACTGACTGATCTGAATTTATTAAAGAGGAACTTTATAGTTTCTAGAGAAGCTGAGGTGTTGCATCGATGGGAAAGTAAAACACAAACGTTTGGTTTTATCAACTAACTAGATCGGCACCGTATTAGGAAGTCAGTTGGCCTAGTCTATCTACGGCCGTGGCCATTTTCCTTTACCAACTGGCTCAGTTAATAAGCAAAATTTTTATACAAACACCTGCTTTGCTGGGCAATAAATGGCGGGATTAAAGTCTAGAGTTTAGAAATATATTTAAAACTAAACGCAAAATCTATGCTTGAACGCTTTCTGATACCGGTTGTATTTTTAAGTATTTAGTTAAGTTGATGTACTGAGTATGATATGAGGGCCACTCTCCCAGAGATCTGGCGGAATAAGGCAACACGAGTTGTTTACTTTCATGGAAGAAGTGACATCTTGAAATAACATTTAGGGAACAGGGGAATTTGTTGAGTTTTTCAGGTAACCGGGGAACATTGAATCTCTACCTTTAATTGAAAGAGGATCCAACAGCATACTTTTACTAATCGGGCCCTTAACGAGGCGAATTTCTCAGTTAGTTGCGACTTGTTTGTGAGCGTACCAAGGCCTCATTTCAATATGTCTGGTGAAGAGTTTGTTTCGCGTGTTAAGCTTTAATTTATAGTTCAAATACCGTTGGCTTGACTCGAACACCATTACGATTTTACTGTTCCGGAAGCTTTGGAAACTTGACAAAATTGACTTTTGAGGACCATGTGAAATTACTTTATGGCCGGAACAAGGGAGGAACTTCAAATTATTGAAGGGACAGCAAGGGATGACATTGAATTTTAATGCCATAATTAAGACACATTAACAATAACAATACTTTTTAATGTTTTTTTTAGTTGTCTTAATTCAGGCATCCGTTTTCACTAAATAAGGATGAAGTTGAAATAGTGGATACGTAGCTAAAACTCAGTTTCAAGAGAAAAGTACGTCATGAGCTTTTCGCGCGCTTTGCTTCTTATAACAAACCCAAAAGTTATAAAACCGACCTTGTTGCGAACATATTTACATTTTTTCCGGACATTGAGGCTGACCTCAAGCTTGGTCAATTATGCTTATACATGTATAAACGGTGATGGCTCAAGCTTGTAAACTTAACAGCATGTGTTATTGAAATTTTCTGTCAAATTGAATTACAGTATAATATAAGCTCTCATAGGTAAAGCTTGCAATGCACCGACAACACCTGAAAAATCATTGAATCGTCCGTCGAGTTAGTTTTACCTGGCTCATCATCATATGTTGAAAAACTACAAAACTCAGTGCTAAACCCCCATCCGATTTCTTCTCTGTCTGCTGGCCCGACGAAGACGAGCCCATATTGTTTTCTTTGACGTCAGCTTTAACGAACAACTGACAAAACTCGCAGATGGGCTTTAAGTTATTAGTGAAAGACTTGAAAGACCCACCAGTCATATCACTTTCCACCCAAATTAACTGAAAGCGAAATATAAACAAAGCAATCACTTGGATCTCTAAATGCATTGCTGACAAAAATGGTACCAGGGACAAACTTCACTGAAGATGAAAACCAGAAAACGTACGAAGAACTGGTCTGCTCGGCGGAATTGATCAGAGGTGTAGACGGCGAGCTTATTTTTCTTTCAGCTCTTAATATTTTTCTTTCCATTACTGCATTTCTGGGGAACACTCTGATCCTAGTTGCTCTGCACAAGGAAACTTCACTTCATCCGCCGTCCAAACTCCTGTATCGTAACCTAGCGATAACTGATCTATGTGTTGCTATCATTACAGAGCCTTTGGCTGTGTGTTATGGGATTTCTGTTGTGAAAGAAAGATGGGATATTTGTTATTTTGCACATTCGTCATTATATTACTCAGGTTATACTTTGTGTTCAGTGTCTTTATTTACAGCTGCTGCAATAAGTGTGGACAGACTTCTCGCCTTGTTGCTGGGGCTCAGATACAGACAACTTGTAACTTTGAGAAGAACATGTATAATTGTTTTTGGTTTTTGGATTTTGTCCATCGTTGGTTCATCTACTTTATTTTGGAATCCTCATATACTTCTTTGGTATCAATACATAGGTACAGCTCTGTGTCTAGTCACCGCAATCTTCGCTTACACAAAAATTTTCTGTACTCTGCGTCATAATCAAATACATGTTCAGAACCATGTTGCTCAAGGACAACCGAGCCAAGCAATTCCCGCACTGAACATAGCTCGATACAGAAAGGCAGTGTACAGTGCACTGTGGGTGCAGGGAACATTGGTTGTTTGTTATCTGCCGCTTAACATCGTGGAGGCTTTGAGACCTCAAAGAGGCATTTCTTTATCCGTTCACCTTGCACGGCAATTTGCGGGTACAATAGTGTTCTCAAACTCGTCATTAAACCCTTTGTTGTACTGCTGGAAGATCAGAGAAGTGAGACAAGCTGTAAAAGAAACATTAAGGCAAATGTTCCGTATTTCAAGTTAGTGTACTATGCTTTTCCGCTGTATACTATTAAAATTCATGCAAAAGTTGCCGTTTAACTATTGTAACTACATTTAATACTTTTGTGAAGTATTTTGAACGTTATTTTCAAAGTTTCGATTGGGTCAAGGTTAGTCTTGATGTTGTCCACATAATTAGGTCTTTTTCTGTTTTAACCTTTTGTTTCTACTTGTACTTGAATTTTTTCTTAGCTCGCCAATTTGCTTCATGCCATGTCAGGAATATTCTTCGCTTACCATTGTCAGCTGTTAGTTGTTCTTAGGTGGTCATGTTTGTGATGTTAGTGCTGACCTTGGTTCTTAAGTCCCGTTAAAGTTTCTGTTTCGGTTTTTTCACCAGCCTTTTAGTTTTTCATTAGGTTGTGACGATCGCAACCATGTAGATTCAATAATACCAAAACCTTACCCATACCCAGTTTAACTTGTTTTTATTCCCACGGTCAGCTAACACAAACATGTCCAGCTTTGGCTATAAACACCGTTGTCATTCGAATTGCTAGAGAAGAAGATTGAAGTAGGAGACGATATAAGAGTGTTACGAGTATAGTTGCTGTAGAAGTCAAGAAGAATAAAGACCACGATGTAAGAAGTAGACTCTCGGTACCTCATCGATTAGCGAGTGAGTTTCTCAAACACGTCCCCACAATACTTACTGGAGTTCTTTTTCATCAACTATTTTTCCGAACAAAAAGACGCCCAGCGTTTTCAAAGTAGGAGGTATAATTACTCTCTTAGCCGTGGAAATTATAGTTAAGTCGCAAAAAGTGAGACCGGGTTGGGGAGGCATTATGGTACCTCGTAAAACATCAACGAGAAAAGAGCTTCGATTAGCTATCCTATGCTCAATGCTAAATTCACGAGACTTGTAGACCACATGAACAAAACCTACATCAGTTCTTTATAGGTGGAGGCTCAGAATACGTAACAAAAACGAAAATAAAGATACTGAAAACGCATCCACGTTGCAAGCAAATATACTCATGAATTCTGAACATTTAGCATACGTTTACATAAATAACAGCGATTATATTGGTAAGAGCATCTACTTTTTGTCCTGTGGTCTCCTCATAATTAAGAGCTTCGCACGGTTCCGCATGAGACACGTATTTGGGGTGCATAAAATAGCGAGGGTTACTGCAGGCAGTAGGCATTAAATATTTAATCTTAGTTTTCATTTTGCACAAAATAAGGTGTAAAGAAAATTCGAGCACTAATTAGAAGGTGTCTGTTTCAGTTTCACCAAAACGTTTACTCACATGAAAGCAAATTAATGCACACGACCACATAATATTCTGCAAAAAAGTTCAACAATCGCGCTATGTATATTATATATTTCATAGCTGGTCTCTTTGCGGAAGGCACTCAAAGCTGGCAGCGCACGATTAATAGCAATATGATGTTGAAATAGAGAATATTACATGGCAGCGCCGGGATACGAATTTTATCTACAAGTGCTGAAAGAGATACTTTCAGCACGAGAAGGTAAAATTCGAATCCTCAAGCGGCCATGTAATGTTCTGTTTATTTTATAGATGCTGATGAAATTTTTACATAAAACACATTTTTTTTTATTCATTTTCGAAACAGCAAAATAGTGCAATTATAGTGGTCACCTATGGCAAAATTCCTGTTACAAAAATTTTATGAAACTCGGATATAAAGTTATAAAGAAGAAATAAAGACAAAAATACTTATGATTTTCTGTTCCAAAAAGTCGAAATTAATGTTAGTAACCATGGCGACACCAATATCCTTACACGTGAAAGATAAAAAAAGCATCTTTACTGCGCGCGATGAAGATAGGATTTTTTAGTAAAAGGAAAAATCCTGGTGTTTCATCAGTATCTATATAATGAATACAGACAAGTTGTAACCTTGAAAAGAACGTGTATAAATGCATTTGGGTTTGGGATTTTGTCTATGGTGGGTTCATCTAGTTATTCGCTTATAATAAAGCCGAAAATTGCGCCCAGGCAATTTAACATGTCTGAGCGGATTGATTAGACTCCCTCGGTCTTAAAAGTAGCGCGAGGAAACAACTGATACAAGATCAATACACGTGCATGTCATAATCCAACCTAATTAAGGTTGATTTCTGTCTATTTGAAGCTTTAAGTTATAACCAAACAAAGACATCACCTGCTTTGCTTTTGGTTAACAGTGCAATATCTCAGAAAACAGGAAGAACTAAGAATGAAGTTACCATGCGCTTAGATAATTAGTTTACACAATATAGATGCTGTGGGGAAATACTGATGTTAGTAATTTTTAAAGTGCGTACTTGCGAGTAGTTACAGGGCAGTGAAATGGCAGTCAGTAGACAAATTTGACACACTTCCACCCATATAAAAGGAAATGATACATTAAACAGTACAGGCAGCTGCATATCGTTGCATCGCAGCCAAATGCATATGGCGCTAAGAAATTTTACTGAAGACGACAGCATAACACTCGAAGAACTATCCTGTCCGGCGGAATTTCTCAGAGGTGTAGATCTAGATGGCGAGCTTATCTTTTTATCAGCTCAGAATAAGTAACAAAGACGAAAATAAAGATATTGAAAACGCATCCACGTTGCAAGCAACTATACGCTTGAATTCTGAACATTTAGCATACGTTAATATAAATAACAGTGCTTATATTGGAAAGAAAATCTACTTTGTCCTGCGGTCTTCTCATAATTAAGAGCTTCGCACGGTTCTGCATGATACACGTATTTGGGGTACATAAAATGGAGAGGGTTACTGTAGGCAGTACGCATTGAATATTTAATCTTAGTTTGCATTTTGCACAAAACAAGGTGTAGAGAAGATTCGAACACTAATTAGAAGGTGTCTGTTCCAGTTTCACGAAAACGTTCACCCACGTAAAAGCAAATGGATCCACACGGCCACATAATATTTTGCAAAAAAAGTTCCACAATCGCACTATGTATATTATATATTTCAAAGCTGGTCTCTTTGCGGAAGGCAGTCAAAGCTGGCAGCGCACTATTAATAGCAATATGATGTTGAAATAGAGGATATTACATGGCCGCGGGGGGATATAATTTTATCTCGGAGTGCTGAAAAAATCTCTCACGAGTGAGCGAAATTCCTACATAAAACACAACTTTAATTTTTTTTATTCATTTCGAAAGAGCAAAATAGTACAACTTAAGTGGTCACCTATTGCAAAATGCCTGTCACAAAAATGTTATGAAACTCGGAAATAAAGTTATAAAGAAGAAATAAAAACAATAATACTTATGATTTTCTGTTCCAAAACGTCGAAATTAATGTTAGTAATCATGGCGACAACAATATCCTCACACGTGAAAGATAAAAATAGTTTCTTCGCTGCGCTCGATGAAGATATGATTTTTTAGTAAAAGGAAAAATCCTGGTGTTTCATCAGTATCTATATAATAAATAGCAGATAATAATTAGTTTCACGACAACTTCAGAGGTATAGATCGCCCAAATGTACGTTAACTAAACGAGATGTCATTTAAGAATTTGTTCATGCTTAGCGTGCGTATATCGAGTTATGGATGCACGCGGGAAGTTTGGAGAGCACGAAAGATGCGTAAGAGTTGCACGAGGCGATAGCCGAGTGTAACTCTAGCTTCTTGAGTGCTCTCCAAACTTCCCAAGTGCATCCATAACTCGATATACGCACAGCTAAAAGCATGAGCAAATTTTTTTATAACATAGCTGACAAAAATGCTTGCTTTTTGATGAACTGCAAAATTCTCGTAACGCGCTACACAATAACAAATGGTTCTATTGGCTGATTACGAACACGCCACAATCGTCTAGTTTGAATGAAAATATTCTTTCTGTAAAACTGAGAAAGAATATTTGCTTCTTTATTCGTTAACGACCAATGGAAACTAAGCAGAAACAAAGGTAAAAGAGTCTTAAAGTTCACCTAAAGTTAAAATACTAACATGTTCGTAAGAAGTCGTGGAGTATGGTTTGGATTTGCTGAAAAGATGTTTACGTTTTGCTCGGCGAAATCCAGAAAACATGTTTTTAGCGAAGACGACTGTCATCCTTCTTTAAACTCATATTCATTTACGAACATTGGCTGGTCATTACGGCTTCTTGAGAAGACCTAGCAGCAGGTGTTTTTGTGAGTAATAAATTTATGTCTTCTTGTGTAATTTGTGTTGTTATTGCGAGAGAAATCTTCCCGAAGTCGGATTGTCCGGAGATAACAAAAGTCCATAACAAATTTAAAAACAACAATAAAAAAGGAAATTTAACCTTTAAATGTTGTTGATGACCAGTTGGTGTCTGTTCTGTTCCCAGTGAATGTCTTTCGGGCAAAATTTGCTGCAGCTGGTCTTCCGACAAATTTGCGAAACGCGCAACACGCGAGTTTTTTTTAATTCGGCTTCATTTTTGCTGCTTGTTGGATCAGGACCTAAAAGCAGGTCAGTGCCGATAGAAAAATTGTGCAGTTCTTCGCTGGTTTCTTCCATATTTTAAAGAGAAGGAAAACTGCACTGCAGCTTAAAATACGACAACTTTGCAGCCAGGTAAAAAAAAAATGCTTACGTCATCTTATTTACGCACGGGCGTGCGTAAATAAAGATTTTGTTCATAGCGGCTCAATAGGACTTATATAGGGCAAGCACGCGCGCTATGTTATAATATGAGGTTTTCGTGGGTTTTGCCTCTCATAACAGACCCCAAAATTAAATTCCTTTCCAGCCATCTGATCTCAAGTAAGTTAATAACACAAATATATTACGTTCTGCTAGGAAGATAGCGATGGCTCAAGCTTGTCAACAGCTTGTGTGACGGGAAAGTTTATGCCAAATTACTGAAGAATGTTAATGAAGAAATACATCAAGGTTGAACTGCACCGACAACATTTTAATACATGAAAAATCATTAAATTCGGCCGGTGTATGAGTCAGCTTTACCTGGCGCATTAAAA